GTGCAATCGAGTTAGAACTCAAAATGCAGAAACTAATTCAGAACCGCACAGCTTCATGGAAACTGAACAACTTGCTCTTGAATGTTGACTGGATAAACAATGAAATGAAGGCAGAAATAAAGATGTTCTTCGAAACCAATGAGAACGAAGACACAACATACCAGAATCTCTGGGACACATTTAAAGCAGTCTCTAGAGGAAAATATATAGCAATGAGTGCCCACATGAGAAGAAAGGAGAGATCTAAAATTGACACGCTATCATCAAAATCGAAAGAGCTAGAGGAGCAAGATCAAAAAAACTCAAAACCTAGCAGAAGACAGGAAATAACTAAGATCAGAGCAGAACTGAAGGAAATAGAGACACAAAAAACTCTTCAAAAAATCAATAAATCCAGGAGCTGGTTTTTTGAAAAGATCAACAAAATAGACAGACCACTAGCCAGATTAATAAAAAAGAAAAGAGAGAATAACCAAATTGATGCAATAAAAAACGATAAAGGGGATATCACCACAGATTCCACAGAAATCCAAACCATCATCAGAGATTATTACAAACAACTCTATGCACATAAACTAGTAAACCTGGAAGAAATGGATAAATTCCTGGACACCTGCATCCTCCCAAGCCTAAACCTGGAAGAAGCCGAAACCCTGAATAGACCAATAACATGGTCTGAAGTCGAGGCAGCAATAAAGAGCCTACCACCCAAAAAAATCCCAGGTCCAGATGGGTTCACAGCCGAATTCTAACAGACATACAAAGAGGAGCTGATACCATTCCTTCTGAAACTATTCCAGACAATCCAAAAAGAGGGAATCCTTCCCAAATCATTTTACGAGACAAACATCATCCTGATACCAAAACCCGGCAGAGACTCAACAAGAAAAGAAAATTTCAGGCCAATATCCATGATGAACACAGATGCAAAAATCTTCAATAAAATACTGGCAAACAGATTGCAACAGCATATCAAATAGCTCATCCACCATGATCAAGTAGGATTCATCCCGGGGATGCAAGGATGGTTCAACATACGCAAGTCCATAAACGTAATTCACCACATAAACAGAACCAAAGACAAAAACCACATGATTATCTCAATTGATGCAGAGAAGGCTTTTGACAAAATTCAACAACGCTTTATGCTAAAAACCCTCAATAAACTAGGTATTGACGGAACGTATCTCAAAACAATAAAAGCTATTTATGACAAACCAACAGCCAGTATCATACTGAATGGGCAAAAACTGGAAGCATTCCCTTTGAAATCTGGCACTAGACAAGGATGCCCTCTCTCACCACTCCTATTCAATATAGTACTGGAAGTTCTAGCCAAAGCAATCAGGCAAGAAAAAGAAATAAAGAGTATTCAAATTGGAAAGGAGGAAATCAAATTGTCTCTATTTGCAGACGACGTGATTGTATATCTGGAAGACCCCATCATCTCAGCCCAAAGTCTCCTGAAACTGATAAACAACTTCAGCAAAGTCTCAGGATATAAAATCAACGTGCAAAAATCACAAGCACTCCTATACACCAGTAATAGACTTAAAGAGAGCCAAATCAAGAACGAACTGCCATTCACAATTGCTACAGAGAGAATAAAATACCTAGGAATACAACTAACAAGGAACGTAAAGGACCTCTTCAAGGAGAAATACAAGCCATTGCTCAACGAAATAAGAGAGGATACAAACAGATGGAGAAACATTCCATGTTCATGGTTAGGAAGAATCAACATCGTGAAAATGGCCATACTGCCCAAAGTAATTTACAGATTCAACACTATTCCCATCAAGCTACCAATGACCTTCTTCACAGAACTGGAAAAAAATGCCTTAAACTTCATATGGAACCAAAAGAGAGCCCGCATAGCCAAGTCAATTCCAAGCAAAAAGAACAAAGCAGGAGGCATCACACTACCGGACTTCAAACTATACTACAAGGCTACAGTAATCAAAACAGCATGGTACTGGTACCAAAAACAGAGATATAGACCAATGGAACAGAACAGAGGCCTCACAGGAAATACAACATACCCACAACCATCTGATCTTCAACAAACCTGACAAAAACAAGCAATGGGGAAAGAACTCCCTGTTTAATAAATGGTGTTGGGAAAACTGGCTAGCCATGTGCAGAAAGCAGAGACAGGACCCCTTCCTGACACCTTACACCAAAATTAACTCCAGATGGATTAAAGACTTAAACATCAGACCTAACACCATAAAAACCCTAGAAGAAAATCTAGGCAAAACCATTCAGGACATAGGTGTAGGCAAGGACTTCATGACCAAAACGCCAAAAGCAAGGGCAACAAAAGCCAAAATAGACAAATGGGACCTAATCAAACTCCACAGCTTCTGCACGGCAAAAGAAACAGTCAGTAGAGTGAATCGGCAACAAACAGAATGGGAAAAAATTTTTGCAGTCTACCCATCTGACAAGGGGCTGATATCCAGAATTTACAAAGAACTAAAGCAGATCTACAAGTAAAAAACAAACAAGCCCATTCAAAAATGGGCGAAGGATATGAACAGATACTTTACAAAAGAAGATATACAGGAGGCCAACAAACATATGAAAAAATGCTCATCATCACTGGTCATCAGAGAAATGCAAATCAAAACCACATTGAGATACCATCTCACACCAGTTAGAATGGCGATCATTAAAAAATCTGCAAACAACAGATACTGGAGAGGATGTGGAGAATTAGGAATGCTTTTACACTGTTGGTGGGAATGTAAATTAATTCAACCATTGTGGAAGACAGTGTGGCGATTCCTCAAGGACCTAAAAATAGAAATCCCATTTGACCCAGCAATCCCATTACTGGGTATATATCCAAAGGATTATAAATCATTCTACTATAACGACACGTGCACACGAACGTTCATTGCAGCACTGTTTACAATAGCAAAGACCTGGAACCAACCCAAATGCCCAACAATGATAGACTGGATAGGGAAAATGTGGTACATATACACCATGGAATATTACGCAGCCATCAAAAACGATGAGTTCACATCCTTTGTAGGGACATGGATGAACCTGGAAACCATCATTCTCAGCAAACTGACACAAGAGCAGAAAATCAAACACCGTATATTCTCACTCATAGGCAGGGTGTTGAACAATGAGAACACATGGAAACAGGGAGGGGAGCACTACACACTGGGGTCCGTTGGGGGGAAATGGGGGAGGGACAGGGGGTGGGGAGGTGGGAAGAGATAGCATGGGGAGTAATGACAGATACAAGTGAGGGGACGGAAGACAGCAAACCACACTGCCATGTGTGTACCTATGCAACAATCTTGCATGTTCTTCACATGTACCCCAAAACCTAAAATGCAATTAAAAAAAAAAAAAAAAAAAGAAATAAACCAGTCAAAGACCAAAAAAAAAAAAAAAAAGAAATGCTAAATACCATAATAAAAGGTTGAAAAAAATTCCTTTAGTGAATCCCCTTAAAATTTCATCATAAAGAGAAAAAAACACTTTTAAGAGGAATATACTTAATAAAAATATAAACTGAGAAGTAATAGCCATTGAAAAATATTTTCTGATACACTAGAATATTATCAACAGGACCTTTAGTGATATGACCAATGCCACACTACCCATATATTCTTGATTTCCTTTTTATATGAAGAAGTTTTAAGGGTAGTGACTAATTTTTTTTTTTTTTTTTTTTTTTTTTTTTTTTTTTGAGACAGGCTAGAATGCAGTGGTGTAATCAGCTCACTGTAAATTCAAATCCCTGGGTTCAAAGGATTCTCCTGCCTCAGCCTCCTGAGTAGCTGGGAATACAGTTGCATGTCACTGCACCTAGCTAATTTTTAAATTGTTTGTAGTGTGAGGATCCGGCTTTGTTGCCCAGGCTGGTCTTGAACTCCTGGCCTAAAACAATCCTCCCACCTCAGCCTCACAAAAGTGCTAGAATTACAGTAGGCACAAGTCACGCCATCATACCTGGCGTGACTGATTCTCACACAGCTTCTGTTACCCAATAAATCATATGGTACCTTTCAACAGTATATACATTTAAAGTATTTACTTCATGAATATATTAATATTTTTAATAAATCCTTGCTCAAGCATCTCCCAGATAATGACTATTACTACCTGGTATTAAAGGACGATTACCTGATAATGGTACATAATTACATACTAAATAATAAATACATAATGAAACAGTGACCAAAAATATTACAGGACCTTAAGAACTTTTTAAATGGTAATAACATATATATACTTTTGTATCTTTTGAATTTTAAAACATTTCAGCTGGCTGTGGTGGCTCACGTCCATAATCCCAGGGAGACAGAGGTGGGAGGATTGCTTCAGCTCAGGAGTCCAAGACCAGCCTGGGCAACATGGTGAATCCCCATCTCTACAAAAAATACAAAAAGTGGCCAGGCATGGTGGCACATGTCTGTTGTCCCGGCTACTTGGGAGTCTGAGGTTAAGATGATGGCTTGGCCCGGGAGGTGGAGGTTGCAGTGAGCCGAGATCCTACCACTTTACTCCAGCCTAGGCAACAGAGCCTGACTCTGTCTCAAAAACAAACAAAACAAAAAAATTTCTACATATTTGAACCTGGATAAAATAAACAGGCTGGGTGTGGTGGCTCTCACCTCTAATCCCAGCACTTTAGGAAGCTGAGGCAGGCAAATCACTTGAGGTCAGGAGGTCGAGAACAACCTGGTCAACATGATGAAACCCTGTCTGTACTAAAAATGCAAAAATTAGCCAGGTGTGTTGGCATGTGTCTGTAGTACCAGCTCATCAGGAGACAGGAATGGGAGAATCACTTGAGCCCAGGATGCAGAGGTTGCAGTGAGCCAAGCTCACACTATTGTACTCCAGTCTGGGTGACAAAGCAAGACTCTTTCTCAAAAAAAAAAAATTAAAATTAACAAATGCAACGAAAACTTTTAAAACTAGTGGTTAAAAAAAAAAAAAGAAAAAGAAACAAATTTAGCAAGACTTACCTAGCAGGGGGAATTCCTCTCTTATAAAGATCCATCCTCACTTTTTCTCCCACATGTCTATAAATCTCCACTATAGCCGATATTGCAGCATCTCTTACCTGTCAAAGAATTCAGAACTTTTTAAGAAACTTACATGTATGATACAATAAAATACTTCATCTCAAGGTAATGTTACACCAACAAACCAACTTGAAGCTCTCAGTGGGTTTTAATGCCTCTAAACCCCTGCATATATGGCTTGTCATTAGTAAAAAACCAAGAGGGCCTGCCAAAATACCTTTTGAAAAAACTAAAAGACAAATTTACAGAAATTTGAGAAAATTGTCAATGAAAACTACTAATTAAGCTTTAAAAAAACTACTTGAAAGCTGGGTGCGGTGGCTCACACGTGTAATAGCACTTTGGGAGGCCAAGGCAGGCACATCACCTGAGATCAGACATTCGAGACCAGCCTGGCTAACATGGTGAAATCCAATTTCTACTAAAAATACAAAGAAATTGGCTGGGCATGGTGGTGTGTGCCTGTAATCCCAACTACTCGGGAAGCTGAGGCAGGAGAATTGCTTGAACCCGGGAGGCAGAGGTTGCAGTAACTCAAGATTGCACCATTGCACTCCAGTTTGAGCAACAAGAGTGAAACTCCATCTCAAAAAAAAAAAAAAAGAACAAACAAAAAAAAAACTATATGTAGTAAGATTATATAAACAACCGCCAATAACTGCATTTCAAGAATGTGGCCTGAACTCAAACAGATATTTTTACACTAATATTCTATTCACAACAGCCAAAACATGGAAACAACCCAGATGTCCATCCACCGATAAACAAATAAACAAAATGTGCCATATACATACAATGGAATGTTATTTTAGCCTAAAAAAGAAGGGAAGGAAATGCTGATACATGCTACAAGATAAATGCGCCTGAGAACATTATGCTAAATAAACAAGCCAGACACAAAAAGACAAATATTCTATTATTCTGCTTCTATGAGGTACACAGAACAGTCAAATTCACAGAGACAGAAAAGAGAATGGTGGTTGCCAGGAGCTGGGGAGGGAGAGGGAGCTGCCAGGGACTGGGGAGTTAATGCTTCATGGGTACAGAGTTTCAGTCTGGGAAGATGAAGAAATTCCAGAACTTGATGGTGGTGATGGTTGTTGCAAAACAATGTGTGAATGTATGTAATGCCACTGAACTTACACTTAAAAATGGTTAGAATGGCAAATTTTATATTGTATTTGCTACAATTAAAAGAAAAAAAAAGAATATGGTCCGAAAACAGGAATCTGAAAGGTAGCTCTAGTTCCCTTGCACAGCTCTTTGTGAAATAGCAACTGAAGAGACAGTAGAATTCTCTACAAACGTCTTGCGCAACAGCTAGGATCTAAAAGAAGGGAAAATCTTACCCGAGGTCACTCCAAATGCCCAGGCTGTGCCAAAAAGGTTACAGTCAAGATTCACGTTCGTCATGAAGGACATGATCCAGAACACATCCCTGTATTATACCTACAGTACAGACTAGGGGTCCTCAAGCCCCAGGCCTTGGACCCATAATGGTTCGTGGCCTTTTCAAGGACTACAACAGGAGGTAAGCGGCAGGTAAGGAAGTTTTACTGCCTGAACTCCACCTCCTATCAGATTGGTGGCAGCATTAGATTCTCATACGAGCACAAACCCTATTGTGAACTCTGCATGTGGGATCTAGGTCGCATACTCTTTACGAGAATCTAACTAATGCCTGATTATCTGAGGTGGAACAGTTTCATCCCGAAACCATACCCACCACCCCATGTAAAAACTGTTTTCCACAAAACCACTCCCTGGTGCCAAAAAGTTTGGAGACTGCTAATATAGGCAGCTCAGATAAAAAAGTTTCTAACAACTGATATACCACTGATATAAATCCTCTTTGTTAAATGGGGTTATTACAATTGCAAAATGTATGCAGCCAATTTCAGCAATAACCAAAGGAAGCTGACACTCTGTCTCCAGAATTAACATACAGGAAGACTAGCAGAGAATCTATGCTCTTTATTACTCAGTCTCTCACACTCCAGAAACAGCCATTAAGTCCCATCTATCCTTACTACTAGCGAAACTATCCTTACTACTAGCCAAACTATCCTTACTACTGACAAACACAAGCAACTTTTATAAATATAATGTTTTTAAAAACTAACTTTGATAGATTTTTTAAAAATGAGGTAAAATCTTGATTTCAGCATCCCTTGCACCCTCTCTCTTCTTTAAAAGTAGAGTAAGAGGACTAGAAAAGAAATGGTAGCCAAAAAAGTAGTCAAGGCTTGAATGTAAATAAAATTTTACCTGACTGTTGGAATCTCCAAACAGGATACACAAATGTGGTACCAACTTGCTGATGACTAGTGGCTGAGCTCCAAAACTAAATATAATTTGAGAAAAAAAATAAAGAAAATTTGTTTTTAATAAACAGTAAACAAAATATCCTTATGCCTTCTTGTCTGTAGCAATATGACAAACATAGGTGGGGAGGATGGGCACACATCATTAAAACATGAAGGATATGAGACACAAGCAAAAAATAATTACAAGCAATGTTAAATATGCAAACTTGAATAATCACGACTGACAGTGAAGACAATACATCATCCAATAGATAAAAATGTTAAACAATGGCACTCTTAAACCTAGCAATCCATGAACAACTTAAGAAAATCAGAGTTTTCACTTTTGAAATTGTTATTTTTTTTAGACTCTGGGTCTCAAATAAATGCATTCCCATTCAGTAAGTTAAAAGATCTTTAATGGCCGGGCGCGGTGGCTCAAGCCTGTAATCCCAGCACTTTGGGAGGCCGAGGCGGGAGGATCACGAGGTCGAGAGATCAAGATCATCTTGGTCAACATGGTGAAATCCCGTCTCTACTAAAAATACAAAAAACTAGCTGGGCGTGGTGGCGCGTGCCTGTAATCCCAGCTACTTAGGAGGCTGAGGCAGGAGAACTGCCTGAGCCCAGGAGGCGGAGGTTACGGTGAGCTGAGATTGCGCCATTGCACTCCAGCCTGGGTAACAAGAGCGAAACTCTGTCTCAAAAAAAAAAAAAAAAAAAAAAAGATCTTTAAACTTATGGCCAGAGAGCCAAAACCCAGAGCAAAGAGCTGTGCAGACCGAGTACACATATAGGTTCTAGAGGGCAGAAAGGACTATAGAGTAGTAAGTGAAAATATAGTTAAGAAAAGGAAGTAACACTATAGGAAAAACTGTATACTACATATAACCTATGACATTGCGTAAAACCTAAAAAACTAATCCAGAGCAAGAAAAGTCCTAGTTTACATTTTTTCAGATCAGAATCACAGTTTTGGGGCAACTATGGCAGCCAGAACTCTACACACAGCTACCAGTCTCACTGTCTAGTTACATGGGAAAGTTTTGCTTGGTCTACGATTCTGGTACCCACCCACACTGCTCTAGGGGAAGGATGGGGATGGGAAATGATTCTAATATGTGAAATATCATTGAAGTAAAAACAATTCCAAAGTCGATACAGAACAGAAATAGATACTAAGGTATTAGCGTATCAGTTCCACGACCATCTGTTTTGGGTGGCTACTATTAACATATTAAAGAAAAAAAGAGAAACAATACTGATATAACTGAAAAATTAAGAACACGAAAGATAGTAACATACATAAAAAATGAACAGTAAAGGTATCAAATAAAAAGTTATATGCTTTACTAACAATTTTAAATATGTCATTACCCATAGCTTTCCTTGACCTTGTGAACTGAGGTTTTTTCTTGAGAAATAAAAAACAAGACAGCTATTTTCAGTAAGCATAAAACTTACATGTTTAAGGTTTCAATAAGACACAGACACACGCCTTCTCGAGATCGAAAATTCTTGTGTTTAAAACCAGAAGACAACTGCTCCCAAATGTACTATTTGAAAGAAAAGTAAAAATGTATAACAAAAAATTAAATTCTTCGCGTTATAATCTTTTATTTCTTCCCTATCTTACTACTCACCTTACTGGTAACTGAGTATTTTCATCAGACTGTTGTTCATCTCTGCACTACTTACAAGTTTTTCTAAGCCAAATTACAACACTGCTCTTACCCATTTTTATTACTTTAATCAAATTTTAGTACTTATATATATTTCACTTTAGACTTTGATTATTCTCAGAAGAACCATGTCCAACAACTGAAAACCTTAGCATTTCCAAGGATACAGATTTCTTCTATGATTCAGAAACCTTCAATAACAATGTTACCATTATAAGTCCAGCAGTCCAGTAAGTATTTAAGTGGTCCAACACTGCCTAGTAACTAATATAGACTCACATGGAACAGGCCTTTCTTTTTTTTTTGGACATTTTATAATTCAGACTTTTTTCCTTTTAATACTGGATTCAAATACAGAAATGTATTTGGGCAATTCATTTTGTAGCTACCTACCATACTTTTCTTTTAGAAAAAGCAGAGATAAACCTATACCAATAATTCAAACCAAGTATTTTGGGCGTAACAAGAAATCCAACTTTATTTTACCAAACATAAAGCCAACTGGACCAATCAATCCTTTCTTCACATTTGGAAACACCACTTTTACCATTTACTAAATTCATACACACAACATACACAGCCATCCTCTCTGTACTCAGTATTCTTTCTGGAGTCTGTATTAAGTTCTACTAATGTATTTCTCTCTCCCAACCAAACTTTCAACAAGGTGGCTTAAGAAATTACAAAAAAAAAATCTTAATGTGAATAACCTGACTCACCAATACCACCTCTGGAATGTTATTCTATATAAATACGTACATTTATGTTCAAAGATACATGTAAAAGGGATGCCCCTTACGACTGTTTGTAATCACAGAAAGCCAAAAACAACCTAAAATGTAAATGAATAAACAAGTGTGGAAGGATATCCACCACAATATTAAAAAAAAAAAAAATAGTTCTGAAATATAAAATACTTGAGATACACAGTAACCACCTGTGAAAAAATTTTCTTCTGGTCTCTGTAGGAGCTGCAGAAATGAACAATACAGCATTCAGTAATTCTCAAAATAAGCTTTCTCAATAAACATTTTTTAATTTACAAAAAAGAGAAACCAGAAAATCCTAAAGTATAATATAATCCATACACCACGTCAAATCACTGAAATCTATTAGTTAGCTTTTAAAAAAAGCATTAAAGAGTACAAAATAAGAATAAGAAGCAAAAAAACAGAACGTCAAACACTGACACTGTATCTTAAATGTCAACCTCTTAAAAGCATTAGCAACAAATCACTGTTTAAAATTTCAGTGTTCATGCTTGCTGTGGCTTTAATGACTTGCTATGAATACCATTAGCAATATCTAAATTTTAAAATGTAGGCTTACCATAGGTGGTGCTACTTGATCCATTAACTTCAGCATCAGAGTCTGAGCTTCCTCTCGAACCTTGTCTTTGGCATCTCCCATTCTGTCTATTAAAGCTACAATAACTAAAGAAGGGGAGGCAGTAAAAGAGTAATTACTTATAACTCATCTCCATTAAAAACTGTATTTTACAAAATTACAAATAGCAATTGCTTCCATAAATGAAGAGTTGTGAAGTAAAGAAATTGTTTTAGCCAGGCGCGGTGGCTCAAACCTGTAATCCCAGCACTTTGGGAGGCTGAGGCGGGTGGATCACGAGGTCAAGAGATCGAGACCATCCTGGTCAACATAGTGAAACCCCGTCTCTACTAAAAATACAAAAAATTAGCTGGGCATGGTGGTGTATGCCTGTAATCCCAGCTACTCAGGAGGCTGAGGCAGGAGAATTGCCTGAGCCCAGGAGGCGGAGGTTGCGGTGAGCCGAGATCGCGCCATTGCACTCCAGCCTGGGTAACAAGAGCAAAACTCCGTCTCAAAAAAAAAAAAAAAAAAAAAAAAAAAAAAGAAATTGTTTTAAGTTCTTTACACATGAATCCAATTAAAAAAAACTGAGAAGTTTCAAAAGAATACATGCAGCATGATACTCCTTATAATAACGTTCAAAAAACAGGCAAAATTAAATATTTTTCTTAGAGAAATGTATAGATGAGGGGACAAGGAGGAAGTAGAATTCAGAGGGTATAGGTTCTAAAGTCAGTTCATAGGCCAAAAATAACACATAGTCAAAATCATCTTCCTGTAATCCCTTAAATTACCACTACCATTTAGTGTGGTCTCATTAGGTATGTGACCCTGGACACATTATTTAACCACCTTTTGTCTATTTCCTCAGCCATAAAGGTGGTTAGCAAGTAGAGGAGTACTGAAAATTTAAAAACAGTACAAACAACTCAAACAGTAAAGGGCAGAGTAAGCACTTTCTATAATATGTCACCTACTATCACTATCACTATCATCATGCTGCATGTTCAAAAGCAAGGAAACTTCCTTTGTTTCTCTTCTGATATTACAGCTATACAGTAGTCCCCTTTTAACCATAGCTTTTTACTTTCTGTGGTTTCAGTTACCCATGGCCAATTGTGGTCTGAAAACATTATTAAACGGAGAATTCTACAAATAAACAACTCTTAAGTTTTAAATTGTGCGCCGTTCTGAGTAGCATGATGAAATCCTGGGCTGTCCCTTTCCATTCGGTATGGAATGTGAATCCTTCCTTTGTTCAACATATCTGCACTGTTTACATTACCTGCCTATTCATCACTTAGTAGTTATTTCAGTTATCAGATCAAAAACACATAGCATGTATAGTAGCAGTCCCCAACCTTTTTGGCACCAGGTACTGGTTTTGTGGAAGACAATTTTTCCACAGTGGCAGGGGGTGGCAGGATGGTATTGAGATCAGGCATCATGAGGAGTACATGACCTAGAACCCTCTCACATGCACAGTTCACAATAGGATTCATGCTCCTATGAGAACTAAATGCTGCGGCTGATCTGACAGGAGGTGGAGCTCAAGTGGTAATCCTCATTGCTGGCCACTCACCTCCTGCTGTGCAGCCCAGATCCTAACAGGTCATGGACTGGTTTGGACTATCGGAGGCTTCAGGAATCCACTGGGGGTCTTGGAACACAGCCCCTGAAGATAATGGGGGACTACTACATAGCTTTCCTTTCTGAGTCAATGGAGGACTAAGTCTAGTTTAAACAAGGGAAGGAGAAAGAAATGAGATCAAGAAAAATATTTCTCTGGTTTATTTATAGACACATATAATTAAATGTGTATATAATCTGAAGCCAACATATTATCTATAATGTAACAACCCAAACTGATGTAGTAATGAACAACAAGAGTCAAAGAAAAAAGAAATTACATTCTTTTTGGGAAAAAAAAATGACTAGAGTGAGAAGGCAACATACCAAATGGAAAGATATTATCCAAAAATCTTAAGCTTAATCAAGGAAATATCCTCACCATAAAAATCATAGGTCTAATTATGAGGCAATGTTCATCAATGGAACAATATAGATTCTTCTCATCCTGCTCGGATGTATTGTTAACACTAGAGAAATTTATCAACATCTATAAGGTTGGCCATTATGGGATTCTGGTTCTGATAGCTTCTGAAAGGCAGAAGACAATAGTAAACACTTAACAAATGTTAGATATTACTATGCACTAACCACTGAATTAATTATCTCATTTAATCCTCACAACAGTCCTATGAAAGAGAGTAAGCCCATTTGATAGAGAAGGCATAGCAGGATTAAATAACTTATCCAAGGTCACACAAACAACAAGTAGTGAAACCAGGTTTTAAATAATCTATACTGGCCAGTGCAGCGGCTCACACCTGTAATCCATGCATTTGGAAAGACCAAAGCAAGTAGATGACTTGAGGCCAGAAGTTCCAGACCAGCTTGGCCAACATGACAAAATCCCATCTCTACTAAAAATATAAAAATTAGCCAAGAGTGGTGGTATGTGTCTGTAGCCCAGCTACTCGGGAGACTGAGGTGGGAGGATGGCTTGAGCCCAGGAGGCAGAGGTTGCAGTGAGCTAAGATCATGCCACTATACTCCAGCCTGGGCAACAAAGTAAGACCCTGTCTCAAAAAACAGTAACAAATATCTATATAATGTGAAGTCACAGTCATAACCATCTCCATTTACTTATAATTTGAGGTGTTTGGGTGTACGTGTATATGTTAAAAACCATTAACAATAATGGAAAAAGAAGTTGCTTCATTCCTGAGAGGTGAAATTTAACTCCAACAAGAAAATTCAAATGTTGGCTCCAACAGGGATTCACTTCAATGTTAAAAACCATTTTATGAAACATAAACAAAAACAAAAAACCTCACATTACATAAAATTGGTATTGCAGCTATTAATTTAAACAAGAAATTCACACAGTTTTTGCACTGGAATTGCTTTTTAACACATACTACCTTAGAGTCAAATACAACAAGATTGTATTCCTAACTCTACCAGTTATTAACTGCAAAACAGAAAATTTCCTGAACTTCAAAGTTTTCTTGTCTGTAAAATATGGGAGGATGACAGAACTATACCTCACATGACTCGTGACAGGATGAAGTAAAATAAGGAAAAAGCATCTGTGCCAAGCCCATGATAACTGAATTATCATTCAATATGATGAACATTCAACAAATATTTTTTGGGTATCCAGAACAGAATTTTTCACCCAATAGGCTCTCCATATGAATGTGTTAAACGAATGAATCAATCTATGACAGACTAGAATTTGGATAATGAGACATGGAAGAAGGTTGAGTCATAACTCTTAGTATTTTTTTTCTTTTAGCATTGTACAAGATGCAAACCATTTACCAGATAACCTAACTATTCTTGTACTCCTTCTACAATAACATTTTGGGTTAAAATTGTTTAAAATTTTAGAACAGTTTATAAAATTTGTAAGATACGAGATCCTTTATGACTCGGTTATAGAACCAGGGCTGGTGATCAACATTAAATATAAATTGTATATTTTTTTGTTTGAAAATTATACTTTTCCACAATATATGTGGGTCAGAAAAGGAAACTAAAATATTTTCTATTATTAGTACTATGCATATATATAGATTATATATTTAAAAATCACATTAATAGAGCTTATATTCTTTTTTTTTTTTTTTTTTTTTTGAGACGGAGTTTCGCTCTTGTTACCCAGGCTGGAGTGCAATGGCGCGATCTCGGCTCACCGCAACTCCGCCTCCTGGGCTCAGGCAATTCTCCTGCCTCAGCCTCCTAAGTAGCTGGTATTACAGGCACGTGCCACCACGCCCAGCTAGTTTTTTGTATTTTTAGTAGAGACGGGGTTTCACCATGTTGACCAGAATGGTCTCGATCTCTAGACCTCGTGATCCATCCGCCTCGGCCTCCCAAAGTGCTGGGATTACAGGCTTGAGCCACCGCGCCCAGGCCAAGCTTATATTCTTTTTGGAACTGTATCTAAAACAGAAGATGAATCTCAATTTTCCTAAAACATGTTTCACTTTTAACATAAAAGAACATTAAAAATACCTGTAATGATAGCTAATAACCCAAGTGCACCAAAACTAAACATTGTTTTTCAAATCAAGTTATATTTATCTAGAGTTAGAGTATCAAAAAGCCTTCAGAACATATTCAATTCAATTCCTTCTTTTAACAGAAAGATTCCTAAAGTGATTTGGCTAAGTTCTGTAATAGAGATAAAACCAAAACGCTAACCCTGGGAATCTTAGCCCAGTTCCTTACCTCTCTAAGAGCATACAGATATGCTGTCTTATCTTGCAGAGCTGTTCTACAAATTAGAAATGATGTGAGAATAATCTTTCATGTATGTGAAGTAGTAAGAGTACAAAGTAAACAGGTAAAAATGGGTAAAAAGTAGGCATTCAACTAATGATAGCAAAGCTGTAATAAAATTTTCCTATGATACCACACTGACTCTAAAGAAATAACGAGTTCAAGTTTCATTAAGGACAATGATGAGCACTTATGATTCAAAGTGAAAACAATACTGACAGATAGTAAATGCATAGGGATAACTGGAAAGAATAGGAGATTAAAAGAAAAAACTACACATATAAAAGTGTATGAACATATGTCATCTACTTGCACAAACACAAATGAAAAACACTAACAAAAGCAAATTAATGTAATTTATTATTTAATCGTATAAGAATCACAGAGTAAAGAAAAATTCAGTGTAGAGTGAGGTTAACCTGAAAATCCCTCAGATTCTCAAATTTGAAGTAGATTTTTAGAAGGGAAAGAAAGGACCATGGGGAAAAGAAGATTTCAAAAAGAAATAAGGGCACAGCAGACGCATAAACAACTTAAGCTAGAACTAGAAAGACTGAGCAAGTTTCTGATTAGCTTAGAGTGGAGACAAAGTACTTCTAAACATTACAAAGAAAAAGTCTACTGAGACGGAGTAGGAGCACACATGGTAAAAGACAGCGTAACAGATTCTGAAAGCAAGACAGTATTAGGAGTCAAACTAGAATTCTGATCCCAATATTCCCATCGCCTCAGTATGAGTAGTCAGTACATAAAACCCCATGTGGTCCTCCTGATGTCTGAAAAATAAATGAGATACATAATACCTAGAATTACTCTTAAGTCTAAATGTTCTCTGTAGCAATTAATAACAGGGAGCTACTACAGGGCAAGAGTCACAAACACAAATGTCTATGACCAGGGAGACACAGGAAATGCTAAAATTGAGCCAGTTTAGGAAGTGCAGTATTCCAATCTTACCATATTACACCCAACTTTCTCAGTGACGAAGAGACAAGAGAATTTTGGGGGCGAGAGAGGTTTTATGAATTGGAAAGATCATCACCTAGACACAAGATAAACTACAAAGCAACTTCTTATCAGGGTTACTACATTGGCCAATTTCTTGAGACAAACCAGAAATACAAATTTTCATGTAAAACTTCTCAATTTTAAACACTGATTCAAAATATTTTAAGAAAATACAGGCTGGGCACGGTAGCTCACGCCTATGGTCCCAGCTACTCAGGAGGCTGAGGTGGGAGGATCGCTTGACTGTTGAGGAGGCTAAGGCTGTAGTGAGCAACAATCATACCACTGTACTCCAGCCTGGGTGACAGAGCAAGATCCTGTCTCAAAAAAGAAAAAAAAAAAAGGAAAGAAAAGAAAGAGACAGTAAGAGAGAGAGACAGAGAGAGAAAAAACATAAACAAGTAAAATGCTTACAGAGCAGTTTTCAATATCTACTATAAAATTTCTTTTATAAGAGACACAGGTGTACTCTGTTGCCCATGGTAGAGCATGGTGGTGCAATCTTAGGTTATTGTAACCTTGAACTCCTGGGTCCAACCTTCCATCTCAGTCTCCAGAGTAGCTAAGACTATAGCTTAGCTACTAGGCCTGCTAATTTTTTTTTTCTTGTAGAAACATGGTCTCACTATATTGCCCAGACTGGTCTCAAACTCCTGGCCTCAAGCAATCCTCCTATCTCAGCCTCCTAGTGTTGGGATTACAAGTGTGAGCCAATGAGTCCCCTGGCCTGTTACAGAGTTTTTAGTGGAGACTAACAGTAAAAAAAAAAAAAAAAAAAAAAAACTTTTCTGAAAATATTAACACAAAGGATCAAATGGAATCAGGTGTTGATTAAAACTAAATAATAAAGATAGGAAACCACACCAGATGCTTCTGTTGAAAAGATAACTAGGAATTAAAAGAAAAAACTGACAGAATGGTAAGTAGCATACCAAACATGAAGAAAAAACTTAACCACAAATATAAGAAAGTGTGATGATATACTAATATTAGGAGGCATTAACTTAATCCACAAAAGAAAATCACTGGCCAGGCATGGTGGTTCATCCCTGTAATGCCAATCCTTCGGGAGGCTGAGGTGGCAAGACTGCTTGAGCCCAGAAATTCAAGACTAGCCATAGCAACACCCTGTATCTATTTTAAAATATGAAAGAAGAAAGCAAAGAAAAATCACTAATATCTGAGGCTACCCTTCTATATGCTATATGATGCTGCTGTATCATAGGATCAAACCCATTTATATTATACTCTAATGGTACATGAAGGTCATTCAGGTTTAGAAAGTAAGTCAGAGCCAACTTTGTAATCCTAATAACTATATAAACCTGAGCATTATCCTACCATATGCACTGTACTACAAACACACTGTGCTATTCACAGTATGATCAGCCTAGGATCAATCTATAGACTGTCTATGAAAAGGAAATTTAGAGTACTTACAAAATGTTTTTGAGGCAATTTGAACAAAGACATTTTGTTTGTTGCATCTAATAAAAAAAGGGGTAGTTTTTTTTTTTTTTTTTTTTGCTGTAATCTATTTTATTGTATTTTATAAAATATTGGTCTGCAACATGCTGGCAATGAAGAAACTGACCCTTCCCCACATATAGTCTGAAACATGGCACTGTAAGTTATATTGCAAATCTTAGCATTTCACAAAACAGTAAAAGATCCAGTAAAAAAATTTTTTTTTTTTTTTTTTTTTTTTTTTTTTTGCCTCAAGGGTGATTTAAGTAGCTTTAAAACCTTTTCTCTGGGTAAACTGAAATGCTAAGTAGCCGATCTCTGGGTTATATAAAATTTCTTTTTTTTTTTTTTTTTTTTTTTTTGAGACAGATTCTTGCTCTGTCACCCAGACTGATCTCAGCTCACTGCAAACTCCGCCTCCTGGGTTCGAGCAATTCTTCTGCCTCAGCCTCCTGAGTAGCTGGGCTTACAGGTACATGCCACCATGCCCAGCTAATTTTTCTATTTTTAGTAGAGATGAAGTTGTGCCACGTTGGCCAGGCTAGTCTCGTACTCCTGACCTGTGGTGATCCACCTGCCTCAGCCTCCCAAAGTGCTGGGATTACTGAAATTACATTTTTAAATTTACAGAAAACTATTTCTGTTAAACAAAAACTAAAGAAAAAAAGTCATCATGTCAAATCTTATTTAGAATTGTAAATAAATAAAGTTAACTTACCCATTGTTATATAGGCTCTAAATCGTGTTGATAATTTATCCACAAAGGCACTTAAAATTTCCAATCCCATTAATGATACCTACAGATAAAAAGTGATTTTAATGAATATAAATTACTGATGCATATTTTAATATCAGTATATAATTTTTAACATATAAAAGATCTTCATAAATATATTGCCATATTTTTTAAAAATGAGATTTAAGTATTCAAGAGTAAATAGTCATGAGGTTGGAGCACCCTAATCTCAAATGGTTCAACAACAAACACAACAATAATAATGTGTACATAGGAAGACAGCAATAAAGCATATTTAGCACAATGCTAAATGGTAAATTAGGCAGAGGTTACACAGCAGTTTACTAACTGCAGTCATGCCTCACTTAATGATAGGGATACATTCTAATAAATCTATCATTAGGTAATTTTGTTATTGTGCAAACATCAGAGTGTACTTACACAAACCTAGATAGGATAGCCTACTACAGACCTAAGCTATACAGTATATCCTGTTGCCTCTAGGCTACTACCTATACAGTATGTTACTGTGCAAAATACTGTAAGCAACTGTTAACACAAAAGGTAAATATATGTGTATCTAAACACAAAAAAGGTAATGCAAACACTACAACACTGCAACAGCTATGATGTCACCAGGCAAAAGGAATTTTTCAGCTCTATTATAATCTTATGGGACCGCCATTGTACATACAGTCCATCACTGACTACAATGTTGTTATGTGGTATGCATAACTGTATTTGTAACTTTGAAATGTTTCCTAAATGAAACAGTTAAAAATTAAGAGCCTCTTTAATTACAGAAGAGTTAATTACAGAGGCTCTTCTGTAATTAAAGAGACTCTTATATCATCTTCTGTCTGTGATGCAGAAACTAAAGAATATCCCTCTCTAACAAGAAAAAGCCCACTGGGTCTTCAAAATCATAAGTGTTCTTGAATCCATCAGAAAGCTAAGGCTGAAGAATAACCAACTAACCTGAAATCTAAATAAAATCATGGGACACAGCAGTAGGTCACAGGTGACAGAGGACAGGAGGAAAATGAACCCATGATATAAGTGGGTAAGAAGTACTCAGTTATACTTAACAAAACTCTTTAGGACTGAGTGTGGGCTAGCATGAAAATACAATCCCTACTAGCCACAGACACAAGGAGAACGCATACCCACTTAATAAGCTCTTTATCCACAAATCTCAACCAGACACCCTAAGACTGAGGGCTGAGCAGGATATTGGATAAAGTATCTCTTGGTGGTACAAGCCTGGAAGAAGGAAACAGCTGCCTGTGCAGGAAAGGCACAAAGGCTCCTAGTACCCTTGTCCTGTAAGAAACAAAAGTTTGAAGCTAAGAAATAAAAGTTAGAAGCGCCTTAGTGAAGAATATCAAACACTGTTACTACTAAGGCATAGGTAAAACTCAATGCTGTTATGGAGAGGAAGAAGATAAAAAGCCTTCTATCCCAGAGGAAGAAAAACATCTTGGGGCCCATATAATAAGGTCTCTAGTTGGGGAAAGCCATGGTCTTCATAAAGCCTCACCCCAGCGGGGCACAGTGGCTCATGCCTGTAATCCCAGCACTGTGGGAGGCCGAGGCGGGCAGATCACAAGGTCAAGAGATCAAGACCATCCTGGCCAACATGGTGAAACCCAGTCTCTACTAAAAATACAAAAATTAGCTGAGCATGGTGGCGAGCGCCTGTAGTCCCAGTTGCTAGGGAGGCTGAGGCAGGAGAATTGCTTGAACCCAGGAGGTGGAGGTTGCAGTGAGCCCAGATCGCGCCACTGCACTCCAGCCTGGCGCCCGGCGACTGAGCAAGACTGTCTCAAAAAATAAAAAATAAGGGCCAGGCGTGGTGGCTCACAACTATAATCCCAGCACTTTGGGGGGCCGAGGCAGGTGGATCACGAGGTCAAGAAATCGAGACCATCCTGGTCAACACGGTGAAACCCCGTCACTACTAAAAATACAAAAATTAGCTGGGCATGGTGGCGCAGTCTCTAGTCCCAGCTACTCGGGAGGCTGAGGTAGCAGAATTGCTTGAACCCAGGAGGCAGAGGTTGCAGTCAGCTGAGATCGTGCCATTGCACTCCAGCCTGGGTAACAAGAGTGAAATTCAGTCTCAAAAAAATAAAAAAGTAAAGAAAATTAAAAAGCAAAAACAAGCCTCACCCCAAGACTCAAGGACTTTAAAAAGCTTCCTAAGACTAAAGCTGGACCAGAAAAACAAAGAATGACCCTGTTTCCCCTAACCAGACCAGCAAGCGTGAAATAAGCAATAGCAGTCTACCAGTGGGGAAGGGGCAAGAACAAAAAGAAGAATCCTCTATGAAGCCCAAGAAAATACGGAAGCTCTAAAGTGCAGAGTTGAGTAGAAACTTGAGGAAAACCCTTCATAAAATTAACCAGGTAACAAAAAAATCTGAAGCAAATATGAACTAAAGTAACTACAGCAATCATAACATTAAGACCTAATTCAACTCCTGACTAGACTGACTGCATAGCTCCACACTATATATAAGCTTAGCAGAAAAAAAGGCATGTCATTTCCAGGCACTATTTAACTTAGTCTTAAACATCTTAAACACTGTCCAATATTCAATTATGAATTATGAGACACACAAAAAAAGCAAGAGTGGAAAAATACCAGTATCAAGAATAAAGCATGGAGGAAAACAAAATACATAGATAATCCAAAAGCTGGAATTATCAGAGCGTTTAAATAACTATGATTAATGTATTAAACGTCCTAGTTAGAACAGCAAACAAGCACGAATAAAAGGAATTCCAGGAGAGAGACAAAAACTTAAGGCAGAGTCAAACAAATAATAATTTTTTTAAATGCATTAAAAACAAGGTACAAGTGATTAAGATGCTTTTGATGGGTTCATCAAAAGATTTGACACAGAGAAGTAAAGAAACAGGGAACCTGAAAATACATCAATACTAATTACTCAAATTGAAATACACAGAGGAACAAAAAGGGAAGGGGAGAGACAAAAGCATTCAAGAGCAGTGAAATAATATCAAGTTGTCTAACACATATGTCATTGGAATTGTAGAAGAGAGAATAAAGTAGAAGAAATAGTTGGAGAGAAAATGGCCAAGAATATGGTGAAAATAATGAAAGGCATCAAACTATACATTGAAAAGTCTCAAAGAATCCCCAAACAGAAAATTCCAAAAAACACCAAGACACATCCTATTCAAACTGTTAAAATCAAAAGAAAGAAAAATCTTAAAGTCAATGACAAAAAAAAAAAGACATTAAATACACAAGTATAGGAGACCTCCAGCCAAAAAGTATGAGAGTGAGGAGACAATGGAATGACACTGTTACAAGTACAGTAGTCCCCCCTTATTCATTTATGTAATACATCCCAAGACCCCAGGGCATACGTGAAACCACAGACAGTACTGAGCCCTATATATATTATAATTTTTCCTACAAAGACATACCTGTGATAAAGTTTAATTTATAAATTAGGTACAGTAAAAGATTACCAACAATAAAACATAATAACCATAACAATATACTGTAACAAAAGCTATGTAAGTGAGGTCTTGTCTATCTTAAAATATCATATGGTACTTATCTGTTTTGGGACTACAACTGAGCACAGGCAAGTGAAACTGTGGAAAGCAAAACCACAGATTATCATACTACAAAAATACATATATATATATCTCCTGTCACTTTAGAATTCTATACCTAATTAAAATATCTTTTAAAACTAAAGGAGAAATAAAAAGTTTTTCAAACAAACAAAATCTGATCATCATAAGAGATCTGTATCACAAGAAATGTTAAGGGAAAGTCTTCAGGGAAAAAAATATATGACAGCAGACAAAAACTTAGATCTACACTAAGAAATAACAGGAAATAGTTGAAATTAAAATAAATATATAAAACCTTAAAACTAAGCTGGTTAGAGTGGCTCATGCCTATAATCTCAGCAATTTGGGAGTCTCAGGCAGGAAGATCACTTGAGGTCAGAAGTTTGAGACCAGCCTGGCCAACATGACAAGACCCCATCTCCACTACAAATAGAAAAATTAGCCAGGCGTGGTGGCACATGCCTGTCATCCCAGCTACTCAGAAGGCTGAGGCAAGAGAATCGCTTGAATTTGAGAGGCAGAGGTTGCAGTGAGCTGAGATTGTGCCACTGCACTCCAGCCTGGCAACAGAGCAAGACACTGTCTCAAACAAACAAAAAACCTTAACAATATACATATTTAATCACTGTAAAAACAGATGCACTAAAACAAATACTAGCTCTACTGAGTTTAGTGAAGTCATAACATAAAAGGTAACTGTAAAAAAATCAATTGTGGGCCAAGTGGGATGGCTCACATCTGTAATCCCAGCACTTTGGGAGGCTGAGGCAGGTGGATCACCTGCGGTCAGGAGTTGGAGACCAGCCTGATCAACATGGTGAAACTCCATCTCTACTAAAAAATACAAAAAAAAAAAAAAAAATAGCCAGGCATGGTAGTGGTTGCCTGTAATTCCAGCTGCTTGGGAGGCTGAGTCCAAAGAATCACTTGAACCTGGGAGCCGGAGGTTGCAGTGAGCTGAGAGCATGTCATTCCATTCTAGCCTGGGTGACAAGAGCAAAATTCCATTTAAAAAAAAAAAGGCAGGGTTCAAGGCTTATGCCTATAATCCCAGCACCTTGGGAGGCCAAGGCAGGCGATCACCTGAGGTCAGGAGTTCAAGACCAGCCTGACCAACATGGTGAAACCCATCTCTCCTAATAATACAAAAATTAGCTGGGTGTTGTGGCAGGTGCCTGTAATCTCAGCTACTTGGGAGGTGGAGGCAGGGGAATCGCTTGAACCTGGGAGGCAGAGGATGCAGTGAGCCAAGATCATTGCACTCCAGCCTGGGCAACAGAGTAAGACTATCTCAAAATAAATAAATAAGTAAGTTGTTCCTACATACCAGCACTCAACAATTGGGAATTTTCAAAATACTGTATCATTTACAAAACTAACAACAATCACAAAATATTTAAATATAATCCCAACAAGTCCACAATCTACACACTGAAAATACAA